TTCTGCGGGGATCTCGCTGCACCCGTTCTACCAGCCCATGGTGCCGAGTGCTCCGAGATGAATCCAGAGGTGAGTGGAGGGGGCTCTGCCAAAAGGGACAGGTGCATAAAGTCAGCAGAGGGAACCACCTAGGAGCTTGTGTTCCTCCTTGGCTAGTGTCCACTCACCTGGAACTCAGCCAGGCCACAGCCAATCTGGTTAACGTTGGGCAGAGAACCACCATAATGGGAGCTCCTTGTGTATGCCAGTCGCAGTTTTTGGGCCTGTAACTGAGAGGCAAATAGGAATGTCAGGGAAGGTTCTGAGCACTGTTCCTCATGGCTGCCCTTACCATCCCTGTTGTGAGACTATGCTGCTGCTGCTGCTGCTTTTAAAAGCTTTTGGGTGAAGGGAGCACTGCTGGGGAAAAGGCCCACTGACACCTGGTACAAACAATCTACCCCAGCCCTTCTGCAGCTTACCCTTATCAATGAAATCACTATTGCTTAGTATCACAGGTAGGGCCTGACACGCTGCTCATGGCCTGTCCCCGTTGGCATCAATCTAACCAAAGTCCCTGAGGGGCTTCTAGGAGCCCCCAAGCTAGTCACATGGCTTAACTCCTAGGAGGAAGTACCTATTAGATGACTCTGCTTTCCCTTACAGGTGTGTCCAGGGCTAATTGGAAGATGAAAAGAAGGTCACAGGTGGATGTTACAGAGCTATTACCATCAGCCTCTTTCCTTCCCACTCTGGAGGAGCACAGGCTTTCAGGCTCCGTCACTTGCCCAGCCTCAGGAAAGCTACAAAGCCTGCACCACCAGAGCTAGAACATCCACAGAACGAAGGCTCTCCCACCTGGAAAAACAGAGCCAAAACCAAGGGGCATTCTTCTACCACATCCTAACAGCCCTGAATTGGCAAGAAGCCTGGAGAATGGGGGTGGGAGAAGGAACAGAAGCCCCCCGATGCCAGCCTTGCCCAGGGCCATCTCCCTAGCCTCACCTCCACTTTGGGGAGATATGCCTACAACAGGGAGGGGTAAGACACTTCAACTCTCATCTTGGCATAATGTAGTCTATCTAAAGACCTCAGGTCTCTCTGAGAGGTGAGCACCTATTCTGAGGCTCAGCCATTGTCATTAGCCAAATAAATAGAGCCAGGACAAGGCCATGAGGAGGAGAGTGGCTGAGGAGCAATAAGTTCCAAGAGCTTCCAGGGTCACACTGTTGTACAAAGGCCAACATCAGAACTGACTTTCTGTCCCAGGAGGTCAGCCCAGTGAGTTCAGTGGGCACTATACTGATCTCTAGACCACTTCAAAACTGTTACTAATAAACAGAGAGGCAATCCCAGCCTCTGCAGGTTAGGCCCCCATGGACAGATCTGCCTTAAATGAGCCCTCCCAACTGGCCAGATAACAGGCTGAACCCCAGGTCTCTTATCTCTTGTTCTGGACTCTTGGGTCCCCAGGCTCTGGCCAAGTGTGCCCATTAAACTTTTCTGTGCAGCAGTCATCACCCATCAGGAGCAAGGTGGGTGCCTTTTGACAGATCAAAGCATAACAAAGATAAAAGCCCCAGTTTTGAGTTTCTTACAGTCTTTCTTTCTTTGAACATATAAGCCCTAAGAACCTACCATAGCTCCACTAGAATCATAATCCAGAGAACAGGACCTCCATCTTTCAGCTAGAGACTGGTGTCTCAACCTCTTGCCTCTGCCCCCACCATGATCAAAAGCTCCTAAAGGGGAGCAGTCAAAAATTCTATCACAATCCTCTTTCTTGGTAGTTAGAGTGGTATGTGCCCCTCCCCCCAGATTTGCCTCCCCACATCACTCTTTCTGTCCTGACTCCCCACAAACTGGGGCACATGATCCCTAGAGACTCAAAGGGGAGAAAAAAAAAAAAAAGAGTAACAGTCAAGGGAGGTACACATAAAAATACAATCAGTTAGAGTCACAGTCATAGATGCAATCTTAGACCAGCAGAAAGAGACCTAAAATGTGGTGGTTATGAATTCCACCATTTCCCCTTAAAAAATGTTCTAGCTCCCTGTCATGAGAGATGACTGCAATATCCTAACCTGCTGTTTTGAAAATAATGTGTTCTGAAATTAGGACTGGATATCATCTGGGCAAACTCTCACTCCCTGTTCCCTCAAACATCTAGCCCTAGAAAGCAAGAAAACAGGGATCAAGGGTCTTCAGAAGCAGCTCTGGCCAGCTGCCTCCTTTCTGGAACTTCCTAGGAATGAGTATTTCCTACATAAGAGAACCCTTCAGGGTACCCAATAAACTGACCCACAAAGCAACCATCTCCCTAGAAAGCTCAGCAAACTATCCACATAACCTATAGCCAAGTGGTTACCAGGTTTCAGGAATCAAAGCCCTACTTCTTTTCCACGTCTGCCAAGGCAAAACACTAAGCATTAGTCTATGAGCAATGGACCTCACCTTCATTCACGTCAGGAAACCACAAAAAGTATTTGAAAAAGGAAGCAAAGGGACGGGACGCAGGAGGGGACTTCCTGCCCCACTATACCCAGAGCTGCTCTTCAAACCACTCAAGGGATCTTTTGCCAGAGATACCAGCCACTCACTACACAAGGTGTCTAGCCAACAGCCTCTGAGGTGGGCACTTAGGCCCCCATTTTACAAAAGGTAGGGGAACCAATTTGGGTATCACCACCTAAGAGGAGGCAGGTTAGGGATAAAATGATCATCCCCCAATCTACAACCCTATTTCGGGGATGCTTCAACAGAATCCCTGCGCGAACTCAGTCAGAGATGCCAAAGGGCCACCCATCTCCTACCTCCGCCAGGCTTCAGGGGACCATCCTCCCCGCCCCCCACCTCCGCACACTCCCGCCGCATGTACTGGGCCCCCAGTCGCTTCCACATCCCCAATCTCCCCAGTGTTTCGGCCACCTTCCAAAAAAATACGTCTTCCTACCCCTCAGCTCTCAACTCGCACTTCCCAGACGGCGGCTCCCGCTGCCCCTACCCCATTCCGCCTCCTTCTACGCGGCTCCCGCCCCGCCTCGCCTCTCCGCTTCCCGCTCCCCGCTCCGTAATTGCTCCGCTCGGCTCCCGCTCTCCGGCGCGGCCCCTCACCCGGGTGGAGCCGATGTCCATCATCACCTCCTCGAAGGCCGCCGTCTCCTCGGCCTGACGCTGCTTCTGCAGCGCGATCTTCTCACTAAACTTACGCGGATTGGAAGCCGAGGCTGTGGCCGAGCCGGGCCCGTTCGCTCCCGACGTCGCCATCTTCCTCCCCTGTCCCTCCCCGCCACCCTCCTAGTACAAGCCACGGCCTCTGCCGCCGGCTCTGACCCGGCTCCTCCAGCCGTAGCCGCAGCCACCGCCGCCTCAGCGAGCACCGCGAACCGGCCCCAGCCTAGCCCTGACCTGTTGTGCGCGGAGGAACCCGGGAACTGTAGTTTGTTTACGTGACGCCTCTACCTTCTTACTCAGGCAGCATAAAGAGGAAATGGACACCATTTCCCGGCAACCCCAATGACTCCGGGAACTTGGCATTTTGCTCCTCCCTCTCGGCTACTCCCTACGCGAAGCAAGCTGGGAAGAGTAGTTCTAAATTGATCCCGAGACTTTAGAACTGATGTTATTATGTGCCCTCGAGTTGGACCCGACTCATAGCGACCCCTCCTTGGGTTTCCAAGGCAGTATCACTATGGAAGTAGACTGCCCCATCTTTCTTCCGAGGAGTGGCTGGTGGGTTTGAACCACCAGCCTTCTGGTTAGCAGTCAAGTGCCTTAGGCACTACGCTACCAGAGCTCCTTTTAGAACAGATAGGGGTGAAGAATTAAGGAGAAAAAGGAAAGAGGGAGGGAAGGGAAGAGGTGCAGACAAAGAGGGAAGAAGGGCGGGCTGAAGGAGTAAAAATCTGGTCATGTTCAGAGAAGGAAATCAGAGGGGCTTGAATAAAAACAGATTAGGGATCTTCAACTGTAAACATCTGGGATTTGGCCTTCTCATGTATGCCCACCTCTTTCTCAAGACAAATCCATCAGACACTGTACAGATTTATAGAAACATCTTTTATTTGGGTAACATGTCCCAAAACAGGTCAGTTAGTAAAATAGATTCTAGGATATGGCCCTTATGCACAGCTTTCCCTCCCAAAAATAACCCCAGGAGTGAGCTTCCCCCTCCCCCTTAGGCTCCTCTGATACAAAAAAGTTTTGGCAGCTCAATGTGTATCATCTGGGCATAGGGAGCATGTCCGGTATCCCCAGGGTGCAGCAGCAGTAGGGGGCTCTGCCAACCCTTCCCCTAACTCAGCCCAACAAGTATTTCTGCCCTACCCCAGGATCTGGGACTAATATTAAAAGCAAGCAGGTCCCCTTCATTGAGGTGCTGGGGAGGGCTCAGTGCCATCACTGTGCTTTTGAGAAAAAAGGGGGAGGGGGATTTATTTGGCACTTTGAAAACAGAGGAATGAGCAGGACTGGAGAGGCTAGAGAGGTACCAAAACTGGCAGAAAGAGGCTATTTGGCACTAGCCCCCTGGGAAAAGGGGAGAGTGAGCTATGAGAGTAGGAGCTAAGAAAAGTAGAAGGGGTCTACTCCAAGTGGCAGAGTGCTGAAATGGGCTAGAACCAACTGGACTGCTGACTCTGGGCCATGCCCTCTCCATACCTCTACCCCAAGGCAGTTGGGTGCCCACCCCAAGCCTCCTCAATGTCAGTTTGCTTTTGTGTGTAGTGTCCAACCTCTGATCAGAGCAGTCAGTGTCTTCCCCAATCTTAATGTCTCTTTAGTATGGTCATCTCATGCCCCTTGGGTCTGGGGCCAGACTGTTGTCTGCCCACTTCCCTCTCACAGGTCAGATAGCCCCAAATGCTCCATCCCTACCTCCTGGAGAACTCTTCCATCCTCAGTGGCTCCCTTCCTCATTCCTGCCTATTCCACATACACTTTTTCCTTTTTATTTTTTCTGGGGGGAGTGGGGGGGCAGGGGCACCTGCTATCCAACCTCCCCTGCCCCTTTCTGGACCCCCCTAGACTTGGATGAAGAGCAAGCCAGTAAGCAAGGCAAAGCCTGCCAGGAGCAGAATGACCTTGAGGATCCTCTGCTCAGAAGTAGCCAACTCCTGGGGCAGGATCTCCAGGAAGGTGATATAGAGGAAGGTGCCAGCTGCCATGCCCTCCAGCACAGACTGGGCCAGCTGGTGCAGTGGCCCAGCCGACTCTGCCAGAGCTGCACCCAGCCCGATGCCCAGGGGTGTCATACATGAGAAGAGGATCCCACAACCAGCCACCACCTGTGCTCGCAGGTGGCTCTGCAGCAGTCGCAGGGACAGGCTGACTGCCAGGATACCCTTGTGGAGCAGCAGAGCCAAGCACAGCTCCATGGCCCGGGCCCGGTCTCGCTGTAGCCCCACTGCCAGCCCCTCAAACACTGAGTGCAGGGCCAAGGAGAAGACCAGGACACAGGCACGGAGGGCTGAGGGTGCTGCTGAGACTCCACTTGCCTGTGGAACCCCCAGCCCATCATGCCAGTGCTGTGGCCCACCGTTCGCTGTTCCCAGCAGTGCTCTTGTCTCCTCCCGAGGCTGGGGCCCCGACTGTTCCTTGTAAGCCAGTGTGATCTGCTCCATCACCAGGACCAGAAAGAAGCCCATGGCCAGGATGAACTCCTGCAGGGGGAACTGGAGCTGTGGGCAGAGAAGGCAGCAAGGAGCTTAGGAGGAGACAGGCCAAGAATGCGTAAGAGTCAGATGCAGATTCTGGTCGAGACTCAGTTACAGATTTGGGGTCCCACACAAAGGGCCCTTCTTAGACAGATACAGAGTCACGTGATGACATAGACACAAAGTGATACACAATCACGCAGGTTATTTTGTCACTATATTATACGTAAGGAGCCTTAGTGGTGCAAGTGATTTATTACTCAGTTGCTAACCAAAAGGCCAGTGGTTCAAATCCTCCAGTGACTGTCAGTGAAAGATGTGGTGGTCTGCTTCTGTAAAGATTATAGCCTTGGAAAACCCTATGGGAAAGCAGAATAGAATCCAATGGGGCAATTCCTTCTCCCACGGAGTGACTAGTGGGTTTGAGTCACCCATCTTTCAGTTAGCAGTGTAGTGCTTTACCACTGTGCCACCAATGCTCCTTACATATGACATAGTGACAATAATCTGTGTGATTGTGTACCACTTTGTATTCACTATGAGTCAGAATCAACCAGACGACAATGGGTTGTTATACATATACAAGGATTTCTCAACTTTGATGCTGTATTGACATTTTAGACCAGATAATTCTTTGTTGTGGGGCAGCTATCTTGTGTACTGTAGGATGTTTAATAGCACTCCTATCCTCTACCTATCAGATGCCAGTAGCAATCCTTCCCCCTCCAGTTGGGATGACTAAAAATGTCCCCAGACATTATTAAATGTTCACTGGAGGGCAAAATCATGACCATTTGAAAGCCAGTGATGAGTGTCACATGCAGGCACATAAACAGAGTCACACATTGGCACAGCTCCTCAAATACACACAAAGCTACATACTGTCACAGAGACGTTCAAGATAGCTTATACACAGTCACATGGAGACACAGGGTCACTCAATGACAACACATAGAGGTTTACATCCAGTGTTACTTCCCAGTTTGGGGGAAAGAAAAGAAAGGGACCAGGATGGGATGTCTTCCTGTACCACAAGCCGAGTGTTTCATTTTTTCCTATAATGAATCTTTCCTATGTCTTCTCCACATCCCACTTCCTTGGGTTATATATACTTTTTTATTAGCAACATCAGACCCCTGAGAATTGCCTCCCATCCTTCCAAGGACTGCAGAGACCTTCAAGAAAGTGGTAAGAGAGTAAAGATCATTCTTGGAGCATTGTTAATTTCCTGGAAGCTGGAACAGAGAAACCCACAGAGTAGGTCAAACACTGGTCAGAAGTTTCCTCACACTGTCTCAAAGGGGTCCAGATTGGGTAGCAGGGAAGGGAGCCCATAGAAAGTTGTGCCCCATACCCAAAATTACAATTCATAAGGTCACACACCAAAAGCCTGCCATATAGTCGAGTGACACATGAACAGATCCATATAAACCACCTCTCCCAGACATTGGACACTCCCAACACACAGGGTCACATGCAGCCCAGCCACTGCTCACCGTCACATGCAGGGCCCCCAGGGCCTCATCGATGGCAGCTAGGTAATCAGGCAGCAGGTCCAGGAGGCAGGTGGCCAGAAAGACACCTCCTGCGAAGCAGCTTACAAGGCTCAGAGCTTTCTGGCGGGAGGCTGGGCAGCAGTGGAGCACAGAGGGAAATGAGCAGGTGAACCCCCTCTAGCTCCCACTACCCCAACCCAAGCAATGGCTCCTCCTGCCTTCCAGCACGTAGGTTGCCTCCCTCAGCCCCAGAGCTTTCACTACACCAAGACTCAGAACTTCTATGTCAGCAAGAGAAGGGAGAGGCTTACTTGAGGCTTCATGGTTAGCTCCTGACCGGCGCAACACACAAATGGGCACCAGACTGCAGACGAGGGTTAGCACCAGCAGCAGCACCAAGGCCCCCAACTTCACCTCCAGTCCTACAGGTACTGGAGGCTCTGAGGCCACTGCCTCAGGGCGCCACACCAGGAGCTCTGGCTCTCCCCAGGGCCCCATGGTAGCTGTGGCAGTTCCAATGACTCTCAGACCTAGGAAAAAAGACTAGAGTGGGTGGGGAATGGTCATGCAAGGAAAAATGGGGCCAAGGAAAGAGGAAGGCTGGTCAGCAGAGTGCTGCTCTTTCCTCACCCCAGGCACTTTCTGACCTTCCCCAACCCAGGGTGACTCATCCAGTCCTGTATAGGGAACATTCCTTCCCCCCCCCCCTCAGATTTTATCCTTCTCAAGTGACTTATTCAAGGACTCGGGAAAGGGGAAACTGAGGCATGAGGATTTTGCGAATACTTCTTTACTCTTTCATCTGTAGCTTCCAGAGATTTAGGGGCTACCTCCAAATAGAAGCCAGAAAGCCAGAGCTGGGATCCTTTGAGGAAAGTATAAACCAGGCCCCCACCCTAGGAAGGAGTGGATGAAGCGAACGGGGTTCCAGCAGGGCGTTAGAGGGTGTGCCAGGTAGGCTTTGTGGACGACCTGGACAAGACGAGTTTGGGTGTTGGATCACCCTCTCTCTCCCTTTTCCCCAGCGCCATCTCCCCGAAAGCAGAGAATGACTGTTTCATGCCAGAGGCTGGGATGTTAGGACAAATGGCCCAAGAAGGGTGCTAGGGGTCGGGTCCCGAAGCGGGTTGAGTCCACACTGAGGGCGGTGTCTGGAAGTCTGGACTCCGGGAGGCGGAGTCTGAACCCTCCAGGGTCCCGGGAAACTGATGAAGAATGCGAGAACTGGAACTCCGGCTTCCAGGCCTCCTAAGGCCTGCGCGGCAGCCCCCCGAGCCATCTCCCGAGAAGCCTGCACTCACCTCGCGAGGGTCTCTCTACATGGTATCCGCTGGGTTCCGGCCTCGAGTCGGGAATTCCCGCCCCCTCCCCATTCCTGCCCCCGCGCACCCCCAGCCGCTGCGTACCGCCCGCAGCTGCCAATGGCAGCGCCGGAAGGGCCGGGCCTACTTGGAGTGACGGAACTTAGCAGCAATCAGAGATCCGCGGCCGCAGACGGGCGGGGAAGGGATCAAGCAGAGAGGGAAGAGCTAGGGGAGGTGACGAAGGAGTGGACTTCGGGGCTGCGAACCTGGCGCGCTCGTATGGAGGTCTAGTGGGTCCAAACTGGCCAGTCAACAAAGCCATTGATCATTTAGGAGATTTTTATATTTTTTTGAGATTTTTTTAGAATTTCAGCCGGCAAAACTGGCGCGTCTTCGCTTGCCCTAACTCGTCTCCCATCCTTCCACCCTCACATTCCTAAGGCTTCCGCCTCGCGTCTACACTGAAGACTTCTGGCTGGAATTTGGCCAAAGTCTCCTATCTCTTAGAGGACTCTATGACCCCTTCAGTGCACGAAGGCGCCGAAGGCATTTCCGCCTTAAAACTGACTTCCTTTGCCTGATTTCCTTCCAGTTACCCACAAGAAAGAAAGAAGAAAAAAAAAGGGGGGGGGGAATTGGGAATGGGAGAGTATTTCTTGAAAATTATCTCCTTCTTAAGATCGATGGCCTGAGATAATTTCTGTAGCTTCTCTCGGTACAGTCAATTTACTATCCGTGCCATGCCCAAAAGCATCTGGCCAGGGTTCTCTCCAGCCTCAGCTCGCACTCTCCCACCCCTCTCCCCCGCACTGGGGCCTTCTTTCTGTTCCTTGAATGCACCAGCTGTTACCACTTCAGGACCCACACTGTTTCCTCACCTCAGATCCTTTTTCCTCACAAAACTGTGCTATCAGAACCCCGTTTTAACCTTAAGGGAAGGGAAGATACAAAGGAAGAAGATAAAGAACGGGGCTCAGACTATTCTGATAATTCTTTCTCCCAAAGGTGAAAAAGCCTTATTGCCAACTATAGATTGAATCTTGTCCCCCCCAAAATGTGTTGTAAATTCTACCGTAGTGCCTAAGGCACTTGACTGCTAACCAGAAGGCTGGCAGTTCAAACCCACCAGCCAATCGTGGGAAGAAAGGTTGGGCAATCTACTTCTATAGTGATACTGCCTGGAAACCCAAGGAGGGGTGGCTATGAGTCGGGTCCCACTCGACAGCAGATAACAGCAACAACATACCTGTGGTGAGGGAGCCCTGGTGGTGCAGTGGTTAAGCACTCGGCTGTTAGGCTGCTAACCATAAGGTTGATGGTTCAAACACACTGTTCTAATGGAGAAAGATGTGACAGCTTCTTTAAAGCCTTGGAAGCTCTATGGGGGCAATTCTACTCTGTCTTATAGGGCTACTATGAGTCAGAATTGATTCAACTGGCAAAGGGCTTGTGCTTGAACAATTTCTCTTAGAAAGATCAGCACGAGGCTGGTCCCCATGAGGCGGAGGTCAAAGATGTCCCAAATGTTCAAACTACCATGCCACTCCATCATCTCAGACATTAACCCCTCCTCCTCCTCCCAGTAATTTCCCCAGTCTTAGGGTTCTGAATTTCGCTGTAACACCT